AAGTCAGTCAGTGGACATGCGCAGATAGCCAGTGAACGTATTATGCCTATCAGTGGACATGCGCAGATAGCCAGTGAACGTACCAAGCCAGTCAGTGGACATGCACAGATAGCCAGTGAACGTACCACGCCTGTCAGTGGACATGCGCAGATAGCCAGTGAACGTATTAGGCCAATCAGTGGACATGCTCAAATAGCCAGTGAACGTACCATGCCAGTCAGTGGACATGCGCAGATAGCCAATGAACGTACCACGCCAGTCAGTGGACATGCGCAGATAGCCAATGAACGTGCCAAGTCAGTCAGTGGACATGCGCAGATAGCCAATGAACGTACCACGCCAATCAGTGGACATGCGCAGCTAGCCAGTGAACGTATTAGGCCTATCAGTGGACATGCTCAAATAGCCAGTGAACGTACCATGCCAGTCAGTGGACATGCGCAGATAGCCAATGAACGTACCACGCCAGTCAGTGGACATGCGCAGATAGCCAATGAACGTACCACGCCAGTCAGTGGACATGCGCAGATAGCCAATGAACGTACCACGCCAGTCAGTGGACATGCGCAGATAGCCAATGAACGTACCACGCCAGTCAGTGGACATGCGCAGATAGCCAATGAACGTACCACGCCAGTCAGTGGACATGCGCAGATAGCCAATGAACGTGCCAAGTCAGTCAGTGGACATGCGCAGATAGCCAGTGAACGTATTAGGCCTATCAGTGGACATGCTCAAATAGCCAGTGAACGTACCAAGCCAGTCAGTGGACATGCGCAGATAGCCAATGAACGTACCACGCCAGTCAGTGGACATGCGCAGATAGCCAATGAACGTACCAAGTCAGTCAGTGGACATGCGCAGATAGCCAGTGAACGTATTAAGCCTATCAGTGGACATGCACAAATAGCCAGTGAACGTACCAAGCCAGTCAGTGGACATGCGCAGATAGCCAGTGAACGTACCACGCCAGTCAGTGGACATGCGCAGATAGCCAGTGAACGTACCACGCCAGTCAGTGGACATGCGCAAATAGCCAGTGAACGTATTAAGCTAATCATTTTTTTTTCAACAAAATATTATGTTATGGGAGTGTAAAAGTGGCGAAAGCCGAGTTTCTTTCTTGGTAATTCGGATTTTGACATTTATACACTATCCCAATGTAATATTTATTGAAAAAATGAACAAAGGATTGTATGCAAGTCTAAGTTAATCTGGCAGTGCATTGCTATTTCTCTATTTGAACAGTTACGATAGAGTTGTCACGTGACATTTATTTTGATACTCACAATAACTGACATTACTTATGGTCATAGCAATAATTACTAATTTCATAACATGTTCATTTTATGTCATCAGGTAAATGGGACCCTGACAGATATGATCCAGACTTGATTACGGCTGCAATTTTAATTGTGATGGAAAAAATAATCGAGGACGAAGAAGTCCAAGTGAACGGTGTTGTGTTTGTAGGTGACTACGAGGGTTTGACAATGAGACATATTTTAAAAATGGGACCAGCCCAGGCCAAAAAACAGATGGATTGCATGATGGTGAGTCACGTGATATTGCAAAATTGTTATTCGTGACGCATACATGATATCTGCATGGACAACACAATTTATATATATTTCATAGAGAATATTATTTTTTTGGTCTCAATTCAGTACTGCAACCCCATGAGATTCAAAGCAATTCACATTATAAGGCAGCCTCAGATACTGGACATATTGTTATCGATGTTTAAACCACTCATGTCGGCAAAGTTACTTAAAAGGGTAAGTGATATTGTGTGTAAATTGTATTTACAGGGACTTCCACTGCCATAGGACCTATATCCTTCACTATACGTACAATCTATGTTAAGGGAGCTGTCCCTGCTATTGGGGACATTACTTATGGGGGACGCCCCTGCTGTCAGTGGCGGCCGCCCAGCCAAACCCTATTAATGGCACTGTCCCTGCTATGGGAGTTATTTCTGGTATGGGTGTTGTTCCTAATATAAGAGCCATTTCGGCTATGGGCGATGTTCCTACTATGAACGCCATCCCTGTCGAGGGTGCTGTCCCTAATGTGGGAGCCATTCCTGCTTCGTGGAGTGCCACCCCTGTTTTTGGTGCAGTCCCTGAACGTCACTGCTAAGGAAGACATCTATTTTATCGGTCCCATCCCTGTCAAGAGTGCCGCCCCTTCTATGGAAACCATCCCTGCTGTGGGTACAGTCCCCACTATGGGAGTCGTTCCTGCTTTGAGTGCCATCGCTGCTATGAGAGACATCTAAGGGTACCGCCCGGCTATGGTAGCCGCCCTCCTATGGGTGCCATCTCCACTATAGGAGCCATCCCTGCTATGGATGTTGTTCCTGCTACGGACGCTGTTTCTAATATGGGAACCTTCTCTGCTATGCCATTTTCGAGTCTGGATTATATTAATTGTAGGGGTTCCCATTGTAATGGAGATCGTACTAGCACTTGCGTAATAGGATTGAAACATAATGTACACATATCTTACTGAACAACGAGGAGATTACTAGTAGTTCTACATTTTCCCTAGTAGTTTTCCAAGTCTCTGAGGATAATAGTTGTCCCTGTATTACAGATTCTAATCGTATATTTGGTCCTAAGGGAGATGTTAACGGCACATTTCATTGCTATCACAGTCTATGCAGCACGCCCTCTGTAGTTAGACTCGTGTTTTGATTATTCACCAAGGAGATCCTAAGTTGAGTGGGCCTATTATGCCGTGTTCACGTATCATTATGTTGAAGACAACCTCGGCAGTATATAACTGGTATTTATCCATTTTAACTAGATGGTACCTGTGACAAGGTAAATTATATGGTGAAGTACTATGGTGTGGTAGAATCGCCAAACGTAATACAATGGCCAAAATAAAGTACCGTCACCGACCTTTTGGTTGGGTTCTTTACCCCAAAATACACAATATAAATAATGTATAGATATATTGATATTGATATATGATCATACACAGTAATGTCAGGGTAGAACATTGGGATATAACACGCACACCGGTAACAAACATGAACGCACTATATTTAATACAGAATAATCTTAAGTAATATTCGTAATGTAAATCACAATATTTGATCATAAATAATTAAAGCAACAATTACATTAATATTCAAATGCAAATAACCATGGTTAATGTCCTAAAAAACATAATCAGTACATAATTTGTAAATACAAGTAAATAAAGTGTGTCGTTCCTATTATTGTTGCCGTCCCAGAAAAAAATGCCGCCCCTGTTATGGGTGCAGTTTCTGTATTGGTGTCGACCTTACTATGGGCGCCATTCTCGCTAAGGGTGCCGTTCCTATGATTGGTGCCCTGCACTAGATGCCGTATCTGCTATGGGTACCATCCCTGCTATGGGTACCGTCGCTGCTATGGGTACCGTATCTTCTATGGTTACCGTCCATGCTATGGGTACCGTTCCTGCTATGGGTACCGTCCCTGCTATGGGTGCCGTCCCTGCTATGGGTATCTTCCCTGCTATGGGTACCGTCCCTGCTATGGGTATCTTCCCTGCTATGGGTACCGTCCCTGCTATGGGTATCTTCCCTGCTATGGGTACCGTCCCTGCTATTGGTATCTTCCCTGCTATGGGTGTCGTCCCTGCTATTGGTACCGTTCCTGCTATGGGTACCGTCCCTGCTATGGGTACCGTCCCTGCTATGGGTATCTTCCCTGCTATAGGTACTGTCCCTGCTATGGGTATCTTCCCTGCTATGGGTACCGTCCCTGCTATGGGTATCTTCCCTGTTATGGGTGTCGTCCCTGCTATTGGTACCATCCCTGCTATGGGTGTCGTCCCTGGTATGGGTACCGTCTCTGCTATGGGTATCTTCCCTGCTATGGGTACCGTCCATGCTATTGGTACCGTCCCTGCTATGGTTACCGTCCCTGCTATGGGTGTTGTCCATGCTATGGGTACCGTTCCTGCTATGGGTACTGTCCATGCTATGGGTATCTTCCCTGCTATGGGTACCGTCCATGCTATGGGTACCGTTCCTGCTATGGGTACCATTCCTGCTATGGGTACTGTGCCTGCTATGGGTATCTTCCCTGCTATGGGTACCGTCCCTGCTATGGGTATCTTCCCTGCTATGGGTACCGTCCCTGCTATGAGTGTCTTCCCTGCTATGGTTACCGTCCCTGCTATGGGTGTCGTCCCTGCTATGGGTACCGTCCCTGCTATGGTTACCGTCCCTGCTATGGGAAACATTTCATTTCCAGAAGATGACTCCCTCATCACTGAACTCGTAGCCCGGAAGTGAACGAATTTGAAAATCATAGAATATATAGATTTTTGCCATACTCTTCTTTTATCTCATCTTTCGCAGCAAGTACTGGTGTAATGACAAGCTCGAATGATCTAATAACAATGAAAAATATCACAAAAATGTTGTTTTATATATCATATATACAAAGAAGATCTTTGTACCGAACACTATATATAAATAAATGTGGACTAATAATATAAACATTATATATGTGTCCATTTCTACTTTCAATCCGCTGTCTCAAGTCATATTGCTGTTTTTTTTATTTAGTATCACTTTCATGGTGAGGAGTATGGTACCCTGCACGAGCATGTGCCATCGTCTATTCTTCCCCCCGATTTTGGTGGACAGTTTATGGATTTTGACTGGATGGAATGGCACAATGATCTGATGAAATGTGACGCTGAATTTGAATATCGGAATCAGTTTGGCATCCCCGAAGCCAACGATATACTTGGTGGAGCCACCCAGGGAGTGGATGCCGTAGGCGGTATAGCCGGCTCATTCAAAAAAATAAGTGTAGATTAAACACATCGTATTTCACATTGCTTTTGTGACTTGATTTATTGTGAATAATGCCAATTCCAGTTTGATAGATCGATGTTTGGTGTCAATGGTTATATATTTTGTAGAACAATAGATATTTGTTTGTGCGAGGTCTCACATCCGGTTTGAAAAGCTTAACAAAGTATTCAGAGTTCCCCACCCCTTGGTTGTACCATGCCTCACCCAGGCCATAAGAAAGAAGTAACATTTTTAAATTCAGGGCCCAACACTTTTTACCCTTTTCTGCTTCATGGTACTGAAACATGTAACATAAATATACCAGTCTGTGATGAGGTAATGATAAAATGCGAAGCCAGTACTTAATAATTCTAACAAGTCTAAACGTTTTAATAGTAAACCTACCTAACTTCCCCCTTATAGCCAAATTTGGTGCATTATGATAGACTTTCAATATAAATCGACAGAATTTGTTTTATATAATTTCAACTTGATTGCCATTGTGAAAGCCCCAGACTTCGCTAGCGTACATTAAAATTGGTAGGATTTTACCATCAAAGATTTTAAATGCAATATTTACATCAATACCGTCAAATTGCGAAATACTTTTCTTAATCGCAAACAACGATCCTGACGCTTTTTTTGCCAAACTAGACTGGGCATAGTTCCAAAGCCCAGAACTCGACAATACTATACCCAAATAATTATAATAAGAAACAACTTCTAGTTTATGTCCTGCAAGCCTTCAGATTTATCAATATTAACTTTTAGTCTCCATTTATTTGCATATAGATCCAAATTATTCAAATTATTCAGAAGACGTTGTAAACCCATAATGGAAGAGCTAAAAACTGCCAAATCGTCTGCAAATAACAAATATAATAATTTTATAAGCGTTATATAAACTCTGGCGTGGCTGTGTTGTATTGATTCATTTACAAGATCATTTACAAAGAGAGAGAAAAGGAGTGGTGATAAAACACTGCCTTGTTGGACTCCTACTTCACATTTGAACAATTCAGAAATACCTACTGGGGAGCAAACACATGCCCTGATATCTTGGTACATGGACTTCAATACTTTAAATAGTTTGCTACCCATTCCCAATTTTGTTAGTTTATAAAAGAGTAAGGTGTGGTTAATCCTATCAAATGTCTTTTCAAAATCTATAAATGCACAGTATAATTTACTTCCTAATGACAAATAACGATCAATAATGGTTGATAAAACTAATAGATTGTCAACTGATGAATAATTTTTACGGAAACCGGCCTGTTCTTCCACAATAGGATTATAGTGCAAGTTGACCCAATTAAGCAGACGATGATATATAATATCACTGAAAACTTTTGTCATCGATGGCAATAATGTAATACCTCTATAGTTATTAACTGAATCTCTTTCACCCTTCTTATAGATAGGAATAATTAAACCATGCACCCATTGTGGAGGGAATATACCAGTATTAGGTATTGTATTGAAAAGTTTAACAAGTAATTGTTTAAAAATCATAGGAATATGCCTAAATATTTTCGGCGATAAACCATCAATACCAGTTGTCTTATTTGCATTTAACCGACCAAGG